AAAAACTTCAAATGTCTATAAATTGTACAAAAGAGCCAACAAATTTTTAAAGTTAAATTACGTCTAGAAAATTCTAACTCAAAATAGGTAAATATACATAAAAATATTAATATTTAAGTGTCAAATGACAACAAAATAATAAAATTAATTTTGTTTAAGTGTTGTGTAAAAATGTCTGTTAAAAGTGTTTTTTTTAAGATAACATCTAGTACCTACCAAAAATTCATTTTGCTACCAGATTATATCCAAAATTCTATAAGTTAAAATCAAATTATAATGATAAAATGCTCGGTTGTATTGATTTAAATTGTAGCACACCACCTACACGGTAATCATTTTACTTGAAACGTTATTATTTTCGTTGTAACAAATATGTCGTCGTTGTTTGGACGTATGGTAATTTTAACGAGAAACCATAGCAAAGCGACGCATACTAAAAATAATTTTGTGAGTAATCTAATATTCAGACGAGACAAGTTGACATTCTCGGGTTGACCATCGTATCCCTAGAGACGTATGACATTTTAGGGTAGGTACCTATCTCATTCGATTCCCAAGCTCTAACAAATCCTAATTCGATTAAAGGCATGGATTTTGATGGCATTTGAACGGAAACGAGAAAACTCCAAACAAACGATGGTTTCACATAAATACATAATAAAACAATTTACCTAATAAGTTATAATATAATGTTATAAGGTTGAAAACACTTTGTTGTATGTAATACAATTGCGTGCAAATATTTACTATTTTGATTTCGGATGGGAATTTAAATGTGAATTATACAATATTAAAATACTTGAAATACCTACTTGCGATTTGACCTATATAACTTTGTTGACGAGTTATTACTATGTATAATGTTTTACCTACGGTATTAAAATAATTAATAATTATAATATAACGATTATAATATAACGCATAACAGACTTTTTGATACTGGTGGTTTGGGCATCAACTTTTGAGGCGTCGATGCTAAATCATAAATTTCGTGATGTAAATGGTTTTTTTTTWAAAATAATATTTATTTATTTAGGTGCCTCTAATGTGAGGCGCCTTCATTCATTCACTGTCCCTTTTAAATATTATGTTAAACCTTTTACTTATTATATCCCCTTGTACAGATTGTAAATATTCATTTAAATAAACGTCTTTAAAAAAAAAATATATAGGTATATATATATTTATTTGTAAACAGCAATAATATATATTACATAAATGTTTACTTAAAATAATGGTTACTAAACCTTGTTAAAGCTAATGCTTGTATTGCTGTACGCTGTATTGTTATACAGTAATATAGGTACCTAATATTATTAAATAATTTATAGGTTTATACTTATGGACTAAAATATTACACGTTAACTAACGCAAGAAAAAAATAGAAAATCAATGGGTAGAAAAAATAAATAAACAGAAACTATGGGCTTATGGGCATAAATATATATTACGTGACCGGCGTACGGGGTCGGGTGCAATAAAACAACAAAACACGGTGGTGGTTGATTTTCGAGTGTAGGTACGGTATCCGTGTATATAATAATAATATAAAGCCGCAGAAGGACGCGAAAATCCCCACAGAAAATGAACAAGGTTTAACGAAGAATCACATAAATCAAACGTCCTTTATACGTTTGTACATCAGTATATGTATATATGTATAATATATCATATATATAGTATGTAAAATAACCTTTGTAGCCGGTTTACGTGGACTACTGCTGTCATCTACCACCACCAGTCACCACCGACGACGTACCCTCAAAAACGACAACACCGATAATATTATTAATATATTAGGTAGACATTGTGTTATAATATAACAGTCAAGTCGGTCAKACTGTGTCGTGCTGGTAGGTATATTGGAGCGACTACCACAACGGATGCGTACTGGATACCAACCTATTATTTCGATACGTGATTCCTACAACCGCTCGTACTGCGTATAGGAACGTCCCTTTTGCCAAAAAGGGTATCTAAACTTTATTATTGTTTACCCCATTCAAATAAAATAAAACCCTCTACGACGYTTTTATTGGTTTTCWGAAAAGACCACAAGGTTGCACGTATATAATATTATTTGAAATATAATAATATATTCTACTCTTCACGACGGGTTTATTATAGTTTTACAATATTACTTAATATTATTTAATAGGTACACTGCAGCTGTAAATATGAAACGGTAATTTAACAAAGTGTCAGAGATAATCASCATACAAAGCAACTACAACATCATATTAAATAGTAAGTACTCAAATTAACTGTAATGAAAATTAGTATTTATACAAATAATACAAGAAAATCGCTCAGCACTCGGTCGAGTGTCATTGAGTCTAGGAATGAGCGTAATGTCACTTATGCATTATATAAGCATTTCGATTATTTTAGGAGAGCTGAATAAATGTTTACCAATCAGACCAGTGGGCCCCCCACACCTCTTTATTATATCTGCAACAGACTAACAATTTGTATGCAACTTTTAATTGATAAATWATCAATATTAATCAGATYTGTTCCTATGGTGGATGTAGTTAGGTTAGGAGTTGTCAACCTCAATCACAAATTTTTAAGATTTTGACGAATATTATTATAATTAGAACTTATAATACTTAATAATGTGCCTTTAGATTTTTTATTATTTACAAACAATTATAACTTATAAGATCATCGTATATTATTGCATTACATTTTCAAGTTTTTTGTCCAAGCATATAAAAATATTATCAACACTTAATAAAAAAATGTATGCTTATAAATAGCTTAATATTATTTTAAGTATAATGTACCTATGTTGAAAATTYCATTGTTTAAAAATTAATATTTCAATTAATATATGACATTATTTATAAGCATCTTGGATTTATATTTATTGTTTTTAAATAAACCGTAAATCAGCGGTTGTACATAACCAAACAAATAAAAAAGGTCAAGTGCCTTTTATTAGAGCAAGAGTGKATTCAAAATATTTTTAATTTGTATCAAGCCTGGCAAATGCTTTTATAAATATCTGGTAAGAAATTTAAGTCTATAATTGTTCATTTTAAATTTTATGAAAAACACAGAATCGATTTTATCGTATACTGTTTTTTATGTAAAATTTCCTGTTTTTATTTTTTTTTCT